AATTAAGTAAAAACGTTCTTCAGCGGCTCTTGGTAAAAAGAGGTCAGTAGCAGTTAGTGTGTTTCATGGTCGGCTGTGCACAGCAGGGCTGTTCCCTGCTGTGTAGTAATGTTTTTTGGCAGGGAGTCCATGTCAAAAAGTGCAAGAATAACAAAACAGAGTCATGCTCTGTTCTCTGTCAACCCACTGGCTGCGTCTCTGTGATCATGGACAACTCAAGCACGCTGGTATATCAGAAGAGGGCGCAGCCATGTTGGATCTGTTTTCCTCAGTGGAACAGCAGCTCCTTCTAGGATTAACAATTAGAAAATAACAATCGGGGGCATGGTTGCATTAGAGTTATGAGCTTGGATTTCTATCGGTTTCAAAACCTACAGTTCCCTATATTAATAACATTTGCTTAAACTGAAGATAATGATTTGGTGCACAGAGTAGAAAAACCATGACAGTTTCTTGCACATGCATTGAATTAAATACACTTATTCTTTTGTTTTGGCACAAAGCAAAATATAATTTAACTTTATGTTGGGCCAATTCATTTTCAGCAGAGGATAAACAAATGCTAGAAAAAAAAATCCAAATAAACCACTGATGTGTATCTTTGATGGACACGTATTTATATTCCTATATTTAGTGCTCATTGATCTCATGATTTCCATGTTAACTGAGCTGTCAGCCTTGACACCTGCCATTCCTCATTCAAGCAGAGGGAGAGAAGCTAGAGATGCAGGCCCACTTGTCATGCATGACCACACTATCTCTATTCCCTTTCTTCGAAAGCTAGCTATCTTAATTACATGCCACCACGTCTTCAAGTGAGCTCCTTTTACAAAGTAATGTAGACCTGTCCGGTGCTGTTTAGTCCATGCAAGATGGGAAATATGAATACAGACTGATTGTACAGACACACAAGCAGCCTGCATATTTTAGATGGAGGGATTTCAAACTGAGTGATAGTTTTGTCAAACATGTTCATCCACCTCCAGAATCAGATAAGTGAAACAGTTTTGAATGTAACCACCCCCAAAGATTTCATGATACTCTCTTAAGAAACATGTGGATCCAATATAATGTGTTGTAAATCTCCAGCGCAATGCTAAAAAAATCCACAACGTCCTTCCTCTTTGCACACAAACAGCCTGCACCATCTGCAAAGGTAGTTTCAATTCGTATCAGAATCTGTCCTTCTGACACTGATCACAGGCAGTGGCCATGTGAAAAGATGGAGACAACAACAGAGGTATTGACATCAAGAAATGGGTTTACAGGAAACTGGTCAGTACATTTGTACAGTCACTGGCCGCGGTGATCAAATTAAATTACTTAATTTCTCATTTTCTTTCACCCACCACTCTTATCTACGTTGTGAACAGTAATGTGCTTGAATTGAGTGCAATTCTTGAGTATCTAAATGGAGGCAAGCATGACACTCACCAACAATAATCTATTTTGCATGGACTCGTCTTGAAGTGAGAAATCTTTTTGCAATTCAGCAGTGAATAACAGTCTAGTATCCCTGAGAGCATATGTGATCTTTGTGTGGCAAAGATTAGTCTAAAACACACACAAACGCTTACAGGTGTTGTCTCAGAGCTGCTTATACAGTAGCTACCTTTTTTTTTTTTAGCCAAGTAATCTTTTAATCACTGAAACTGAATTTTAAATATAACCATTCATCTACAGAGAATATTGGAGATCCATTTCTGGCATTAGTAGAACCCTGGAAGAGATTGTCTACTCAAGCTGATTGAAAACTAAACCATTAAGGAAACTGTCAAGCTGATTTAATTTTTTTTTAGGGGGGGTGAGGCCACTATTCATAATCTGTCAAACACATGATATGAAAAAATCTCTAATCATATTTTAAATGATAGCAATTTCCCTATCATGTTGCACGCCCATATGTAGGGCCACTGCATCACTGATGTAAATGTCCTAAAAGAAGTCAAGTTCAAATGTACAGCATAAATAATTTGACAATCTTCTGCTGCTGTGTGAATTAGAGGGTTATAGTGAAATGTTTCTAAAAAAAGAAACGCACAGTGGAGACAGCAACAGTGTCCTTTACCCAAATCTCAGTAAGGCTCTTTATAAAAAGGAAATTAAGTACACTCAGAATAAAGGCAAAAGCCCACCAACTGACTAGGAAAATAACTGGATGCATAGTTTATGTATTACAGCTGTAAACAATTTTCAGATTGTATTCACACTGTCTGCATGAGAAATGTCGAGTCTGCATATATCAGTCCAGTCATTGTTTTGGTCCCCTGGGCCTGAGGACAAAGGCTAGATATTGTTCAATATCAGTAGGGCAGTGCCACTAGCTGCTGGTGGAATGGCTCAGACCGCCAATAATGCAGTCTGAGCCATTAATACAGCAATAAAGTTCAGTTGGCCAACAGGCCAGCTGAGCTGATATTGACTGTTTGGATAATCCCTCCTCTTGGCTCCGGTGGATGTTTTGACGGCTCCCTCTCTATGACTCTGTGCTTTGAGCGTGACTCGGAGTGCTTTGTACAAACCCTAACATGTCCGTCTACAGTACTACCAAGCTAACAGCAAGATGCATGCCAATATATGATAGAAAACTGCACAAAATGTAACTGAGGTTTCTCATAACACTTCTGCTGGACTGAACATTGCCATCTCTACTTGATAAAATTCAATTGCTTGACACTCCAACACGCCTCACTGTCTTCAAAAATGGTCTCTGCAAGAGCATTCATCTGAACTCCTAGACTGGAGGTGAAGTGTGGTCAGCATTTTCCAACAGGCTTTGTTTTGTTTTTTTTGAAAATGCTGACCACACGTCTCTGCTGTGACGGTACGCAATTCATATCAGGTTTTGGGTGGCAGTCTGGAGGAACACGCCATATTTTGGCTTGGCATTCATTAAACTGCTATCCAGCCTCATGCAGTGGTTCTACATCTATTACATCCATCTCAGTTTGTTTACAACACTGAGTTGTTGACATTTTATTTGTATTTTTAGCTGTCTGACATCCCCTGTGCCTATTGCACAGAATGCCTCATAGTCATGTTGTTGAACTTCACAGATAAAAACCTCACTCCTGTCCTCTAACAAGATGGGCTGCTGGTGCAAGCTACCGAGAAATACACAGTAGAATAAGCCTGTTAATGTGGATCCATTTGTGCAGACTACATCTCTCCACCTTTCTGCCCACAGTCAGTACCTGCCAGCATGGAGTTCTGCCCAGGAGCAATGTCTTCATTGCTGAATGTTTCTTAGGCATACACCGGGGCCAGCACATGCAGGTGACATAGCTGGACTTGGAATAAACTGACAAAGTGGTGCTCAGACTGACGTGCTGAATATAAATACTGTAAATTGTGGCTCACGCTAACAGAATTGCATGGAATATGAGTGGTAAACGTTATAAATGGCAGAATTCATGTTCAAAATAGCATCCACCTAGGAGGAGGCTTGAGGCTTATTGGAAAAAACACAGTTCACTTTCCAAAGTTGTGACAGACAGGTTTTCTACATTTAGGTAATGTATCTAATATAGAAAGCAAACAAAGCCAAGGGATGTTTAATAAGCCTTTGCGGGATGTGCACTGAGTGTTGGAGGAAATGACACATGCACAGTTCTAAGTTACAAAGATGAGGATGTTGACGTTGCTGTTGAGCACCACTGGTTCAGGAGGTTGATATGGCAACATGGCTGAATGGTTGAAACAGGCTTTATATTTGGAAAACTTCACCAGAGCCTAGAAAACGTAGTTTCCGTGATGCCATCCTGATGTAAGCAAGGGAAACACTAATGCGCATGTGCAGTAGAGAAAGTGACCGGGCGCCATGTCCCTGTCTGGAATTTCTTCAGTACATCTATCCTTGTTGTCTACAGTTACCATGGTTACAGGTGTTGTTCTTGTCTAAGGCGAGGTTCATGGAAAAGGCTGTTATATTTGTCACAAACAGTGTCACTCTGCTCTGCAGACAAGCGAATGATTTAGAAGATGGATTCGCTCACATTTTGACACAAGATCCTGTTCACTGGGTTTAGACAGTGGCAGGGTCTAACACCAAAGGGCAAACAATTGGCAGAGACAAGACAAAGGCTGAGATCGTGACAGACGGTTGCAGGTGCTCTCTAATGCTTACTCCAGTAATGTAGGTGATTGGCAGATCCTGGGAATCCTGTGGACTGCAAATGCTTTACAACATCAATTACTGGCAAAAAATGCAGTGTTTGTTTGCCACTTACATTTTTTTAGATTAAGTTGCAAAACCCAGCACCAACACCCACACACAGTAGTACACACAGACATAATTTTCCCCAAACTGGTACAAACTCTTGCTCCATACAAGTAGAAAAGCATGTTCCTTATTTCATAATCAGTTTTTGTGAATATTTTTAGAACATTTTGAAATCCACAATGATCTGCTTCTGCTAGCACATGTGCACTGATACCCCATAAGGTGAATGAAGGGGCTTAATGAACAGTAACAAGAATGTGTAAGACTCTCCAATCCACTAACTTTCTTAAATCAGGAACAGGTAAAAAACAACACAGTGTCCTAATAAAAACCAACATATCCTCAGTCTGGACAGAAATTCAGAATTCCATTAATATGTATGCATTAAGATGGTCTCACAGGGATGTTGTTTTAGTTTTTAGGAGTTGTGTTTTTTAGGGTTGGAACGGCATCTGTCAGATAAACAAAGATCAATTGGTATCAAGCTCCCTGAGAGAGCTGGGGCGGGGCTGGATCCTTCTGTGCCTCTTTGACATAGATGGAAAGGCAGTGTTGTTTCAGGAATTGATTTGTTGCTTTGGTAGGGGCTGCCATTTTCATGCAGTATTAAGACTTCAACAAAAAACCCCCCCAAAAAGTCACTTCTCCTTCTGAACTAAGGAGATTCTTTTAAATGATACACAATCATGCAACAGCAGAGAGAGTAACAGAGTTCATGTCTCTCTAGATTTTTGACCTTCCTCCCTTTCGCCTTGAAATGATTCAATCTCACCCAGTGCAGTGTTGGATGGTTTTATTACGTTCGCTTTCTTTCTGTGTGCCTCTCACTCAACCATCAAGGTTGCCTTTTCATAATGCCAATTCTGTTTATCAATATTACAAAAAAATGGCTAAAAGAAAACATGTTCACCAGATCCCGACTATTTGAATACTGACATTACATCTTACATTAATGTTTATATATTTTGTTTCTAAGGAAACCTGAGGCTTTGTTAGTTTTCTCTATGTATATTTCCTCTCTTCTTCTTTCCTTTTTATTTTCCCGTTCTCCCTTTCTGGTCTCCGTTGTTGGCGTCATAGTAGACTGACAGACTTAAGTAGACAGAAGTTTATTTTCTTGTTACAGGTTATTTCACCCTCTCACACCTTCCATGTTGACGGTACAGTGTTTATTTTTCAGTCCAGCCCAGTAGAGCCCTCCATAGCTGCAAATTCTGCATCAAATTTGCGTTCCTTAGTACAATCACACTCAAGTCTTATGTCTCTGGGTAAGAGATAGATGATCGCAGTTGTCCGAACTTCTTGATGAAATCTGCCTGGGCTTGGACTAAAGCTTCCTCATCTATGTACGCCGCTGCCCTCTTGGCTGCAACAAAGTACTGCACTTTCCTCATGCTCCAGCCGAGGACGTACATGAGCAGGCCACACACGGCCGCCGTTGACCTGCCTACTCCAGCGTTGCAGTGAACATACACATTGTGACCATTCTCTAAAAGGCCATGGAGCAAGTATACAGCCTGGGGAAGCATCTTGACACGGCCTGCAAAAGGAGACAGCGACACACGATACACTTAAAGGAAAAGGCTGCTGATATTCCTGAATTTTCTTCTTTCTCAAATCCATTGAAAAGATCAAAACCAGTGATGTACAGTCTCAATACTTTCTGAATTCTCTGTTCAGAATGTGATTATTCCAAAGACTTTCTTGGATGATTTTGTTTGCGCTTTGGATTACCAGTTTTCTCCAGCATCTTAAATTCATTGCAGAAGTATAAATAGCACTACACACAAAATACTGGTCATGGTTATAATTCTATCATAGATGTCAGATCCTTTAGAGGTTTATTCCTTACATTTATCTAGTTTTATAAAACAGTTATTAAAAGCATTCATCTTGACTGATTATCTGACCTTTACAGTATTTGAATAAAACCATCAATTATCTTTATGGTTTAAAAAGCAGCGATGTGAAGGCTGTTATAATGACTAAGCTTAGAGCTTCTCAGCTGCACAGCCCAGACTTATGACAGCACTGTAATGTATATCCCAGCACCGCCGAACTGTCAGATCTTGAAGATATTGAATCTTCAACAGCTCTGAGCTACATTTTGCCCCCTCAGTTTGACTTCACTAAATACTGATTACATTATTACTGATTACATTCTTTAATGTCCATAGAATGTTCCTTACCCTCAGTGCTCATGTCAGGCGTGGGTATCCACACATACACCAGGCCACAGTCTTTGTACAAATACATCATGGTCTCCGGGGTCATGGCTTCCCCGGGATTCCTCCTGCAGCCATAGGAGTTGTTCACCAGATCCCACTCTGTCTGGAAGTTCATCACTGCAGTAATGCCCAATTCATGCTTCATCTTGATCGTCACATGTTCTACCTGTCGAGGGCAGCTGCCCAGCCAAACCCGTGGCAGAATCCTGGGGGTGATAAACACTGAATGATCATTTATTTAGTCATCATTATACAATATGTTTTGCATGCTGATATTTGTTGTGCATAAGCTGATTAGCCACATGGGGATGTACAGGTGAATATTATCAGATTACATAGGATTAGAATGGGAGACTTTAATGTAGATAATGTAGAAAGGATGCAATGTGGAGATGCAGAATACAGATACATGATGATGGATTACAACTGTGCTCCAGCAGTATTATAAGGATGGCATAAGTTGGTGGCCAGTGCACCGGGTGGGACCACGAAATGTCAAATTAATCCTTGGCAAAATGACAGTGACATGATCCTGACAGATCAGATAAAAAACTGACCTTATAGCAGTTCACTAACAAACAGAAGGCTGCATCTCCGACCCTTTCCGCTGCCTTTGTTCCTTTCTCCCTCATAGCATTGATGTTTCATTGACCTCTTTTCCCTCTAATTTCCTTTCTGCCCACTATGACCTGAGGCAGACCCCGTTTAGTGCTCCCTGGCATGCACAAAGTCAGCAACCAAAGGAGGTGACACATAAAACAAAGTGAGAATGCTGTTGATCTGTGATGTCTCGGAGCAGCGCTGCAGTGAAAGTCTCTTAACCTGCTGTTACTTGAAAACCTCTGGCTTCATTATAGGTGAATTATCCTTCTGTCAAAATATTTCAACTAGTGTAAAAACTGTTTTCATATGACCTCTCCTGTATGACTAGCAGTTTGACAAATGAAAATAGGAGAAATGTTAATCCAAGTAAACAGTCTTCCTGTTTACATCATCTTTTACAAATTACATCATTGAACAAAGAGGGATTACAGTTGAGTATATATTAATTTGAAAAGGATGTCAATTCTTTCAAGTTCATTTTAAAACTGACCTCTCAACATATTGAAATACCCCACTTGTTTTAATTTAATAGTAATAAAAATATATTACAGAAATGGCTGTATAACCTTTGGGCCATCTCTCCTCTGACTATAAGCAGGAGAGCTGAGGCCTTTCTAAGTGTGTGAGTTAGTCTCTGAATCATCTGAGTCACTGCAGAGGTGAGTGTGTGTGCGATACTTTGGGCTACATGGATGGATGGTCTGAGAGACTCATTTAAACAGCTATTAATAGGAAATCTACAGGAGCACAGTGCTCCCTACTGAACACAGGTCCTTGACACAAGCCTTGTAAGGTCTTTGGACACAAATTAAAACCTGATGGCATCAGCTAAGCCCGCTCATTATTATGCAAGTTGTGCTCACTGCCTCAAGGGTGCCGGGCTAATTTCTGCTGTACCTGGCATGGTGCTGACTATGTGCCCTACAGTAGGCTTACAATAGATTTGATTCTAATATAAATGTGCATCCTCCAAACCATCAGTTGTTTTCATCAAAGTTAACTAAATTTCATGACTGACTGACTAGTGTGGCTAAAAATTATAGCAAATAATCCAGAGAAGAGTGAGGATTGTTGGATTTCCTAATTGTACATTTCTTGGAGAAAAAGATGCACACACATCGTGACATTTTGTGTGCTCTGAAAAGGTGCTAAAATAGTGCTGGATTCTCAAGAGCTACAAAACAGAATTAATGCCAGAGTGCAAAGACGTGATGACGACTTTCAGCAACTTTGATAAATTTAGTTTGTGCTAAATAATGAAACGACAGTGTATCTGTTCCTGTAAGTATCCCTGTGATAAGAGTTCAGCTCTGTTTTGACTGGAGCATGGCGATTTTAACACAGCTATTTAACCTGGAAGTTGAATGAACTGATTTCAACAAAACCTGTCATGGGGAGGCTGTCTCGCACTAAGTTTGAAGGAATTTTTATAAGACTAAAGCCAAGGAGAGCCGTGAAGAGTATTTCCTTCAACAAAGGAGTAACTATCAATCACTTGGGCAAAATGAGCCAGTTTCTGTAAGAGTTATAAATGTAATTCCAATTCACGGAGCTTGCCAACAAGGTTAAAGCAGTGATCATACACACACTAGTGGTCTATTTTAAAGGACAACCAATTTCAAAGTGGCAGAGCAATTATAATGGGGAAAGCAAGGTTAAAAACAAAGGAGTGATCAGGCACAAGAAGGTGATTAAGGATTTGCCTGCCCTGTTAGAGATGGAGATTAGCGTTCTAAACTAAGTTTTCACCAAGGGTAGTGTGACATGACTGTCCTGCCCTCTATTCAGGACACTGAGGTAATGAAGAAGGATTTCCCCAGAGAGTTAATCCCAGGACAAAGCACAATTCAAACATGCAATTTGGATCTAGATTAATGCACTAGCCTTACCAGAGAAGACGGCTGTCATTGTTGTTCAAGAAGCAACTAAATTCATCATGGAAATTCACTGGCCTCAAGGTAAATCGTTTTTTTTTGTATTATTAAATTTGGTACATACTGTACATTGGATTTCACATAGCAAAGGCAGAAAACCTTTATTGCAGTGAAAGGAGAATGATGGGTCTCTATTTGTATTTAGTACAGTATAGGCTACTGGAAGAGTACTATGGCAGTTTGTGAGTTTAGAAAACCCTCAAAGCAATATTTCAACATTTTGGTAAAGGTGTTTATTAGCCTACTTGATGAGTTAATTAGATCTATACCAGTCTTGTGTCCGTAAGGTAAATATGCTGCCCCACCTCTGCTAATTTCATAAATATGGCTTCAAAATCTTTTAGCCAAAACTGTGACATGTTTTAATTGCTTCATGAAACTGACTCGCATCCATCATCATGCCAAGAGGGTTTTTATTTTATTACCTGGAGAAATGTATGGCCTTCTGACCTGCCACACTGAAGTAAAAGTTGGTCGTGTGCTTCATCTCATCTGTGTGTCCTGCTTCCTCTATCCAGTGGCCAATCGGGTGACAGTACACTCCATCCACCATGTTCCTCTCATCATATGAGCAGCATCTGTCATGGCTCGGGCCGCTACCTGGTGACAGAGATGACCTTTGTGCAGGTTAGTGACCAAATACTCTGTTTGCTATCTTTTGGGGCACAAAGTACTGGGTTCTAAACAAATACAGGCAGATGTTGCCTATATTTTGCATTAAGGGACAGTACACTCTGTTACGATAAATGGGAAAATGACTGATTAAGAACCTGATGCAGAGGAGAAAATGGATCTCTTCTAACAATGACAACCAGTGGGGGAGAGCCAACAAAGCAGATTTACTTTTGAGATCTTTGCAATTTTCTCAAGCATTTCCATTTTCTACATATTACTTTCACTCCAATACTCCATATCTGATAAAAAAAAACAAAACAACCTAACAATAGGCAATATAAGCAACTACAATGTTAAAATGCTGCACTACTTCTGTGGACTTTAGGGTTCTTATATATACAGATATAACACATTTATATTTAAAAAGTATATATGGACAAAAATCTACAAACTATATTAAACTTTAACGTTTCAAATATACTTAGCAAGTTGAATAACAGAAGAGTGTGTGCCGTTTCTCTGTTCGTTCATTTTTGTAGTCGATATGTACTTTGTCCTTAGGGGCCACCATACTTCTTTCTAAACATACAGGTCCATTTAAATCATCGCCTTATTGTAAATCCATCAACGTTTAATAAATGACAACCGTCACTTTACCGCCATCAAGTGGCGGTAACGACACATTACACAATAAGAACCAAACATGGCGGTGTTATATTTGTATTTTGCCTGCAAACGTTACCTTCGATGGGGATTTCTTTAAATCAGCGTGACGTCTCAAAAGCAATACCGTCATGTACGCGACCAAATCAGATGCATAAGATCACAATACTGATGTGTACCTTCCCAGATACAGGTGCCCCTGACTCTTTTGATGAATTTGAACCACAGCGGGTCTTTATAGGGCTCTGCCAGCTGCACGTCGCCGATCCACAGGCTCGGTTCGTGAGTTGACAGCAGCTTCTGTGTGGCTTTCATCGGCACCGCTCTGCTCGGGTCCCAGTGGCCCATTTCCTCACGGGAGCCCAAAACAAAGACCTCTTCATCTGAAGACTCCGGAGTGAGAATCACACCGAATCTGAATAACATCGTTGTTTAGTGTGGCCTGTATTATGCATGCAGCTCTTGTGCCAAGTCCGTGCGGGCGATGCACTTCATGATGTGGTCTAAATATAATCGGGTGTAGTTTGGAGCGAAGAAAGGGTAGAAAGAACGAGGTGCCACTCTGTCACAATTACCGGGCTCCATACTGTGCGTTCTGCTTTTTGGGATGAGCCCACTTTTTCCTCATTTACTCAAATAGCCTATATTTTTAACTTTTACTTTGACACGTCACACTTTTCACTTAGTAGTCAGTTTATTAGGTACACCAAAAAAGGTTTAAATTCACACCAACATAATCTCTTCTCTCACCAGGAAGGGAAATTGGGAAAATGTCCTGGACCTAAAAGAACACCAGTTCTTTGGAACACATGATGGATTCAGCCTATAGTTTGTCACTATTTCAACTTGAGTAAATAGGTATATTCCTAAACAACTCCATTTAAATGGCAGCTGCTATCTCTGAGCCACATGAACTAACATCAAAGCTGAAGAAACATTTTGTAGTTAAAAGTACAATTACTTTTGAATTCTTGCAATTTGACCACTATGTTAAAAAGGGCAATATTTCTCCTTATCCTAGTACCTGAGCATCAAATGCACAATGTTTTCAGGTTTCAGTAAATGCATATTGATGGCATTGTTATGTACAGTAGTTTTAAGTTTTGACAGTATTGTAAGTATAGTCAGTGGCTACACAAACTAGGGAAATTTTTATTGTGAAGACACTGGCACACCAGAGGCATCATGGATGTTCATACAGCTACAATTCGCAAGTTCAGATAGTCTCGGTTTACCCAAACACCTGTATATAGTAACAACAGACTGCTCTAATGAATAACTAAGGACAGTTTTGAAGACAAACATATAAAAGGCTGTAAAGACTTTATTAAATAATAGCAAATCGCATGCATTATCAGACTATCCTCATATAAATGACTCCTGACATCCTGCAAACCCAGACAGCAGACTTGCCCAGGGTGGACACCCTCTATAGGAATCAGAAAGACTAGATAATTTAGGGTCACAAATCAACACAGGAGGGATAAGCAAATATTGTGTAAAGTGCTGGCATCATTTCTGTCCCACAGAAATGATGCAATATAACCAAAAATCAGCTTTTCCCCATGGTTAGTACTGAAAGGCAAGGCAGTGAACACATTCAAATCTTTTTCCCTCCCTGACTGTATTGGTAAAATAATATAAATCTGTTGTGCATGTGCATCTTGAAAAAACTTACTAGTATAAGGGTGCATTTTCAGTAAAAATCCATGCAAAGCTAACTGCTTAATGTTTTGTTTTCCTCCACATAGGGACCGACCACAACAGACCCTCATAATGGCAAGTACGGTGTTACTTCATTAAGGCGTCATCATAATCTAGTGTAACACAGGAAGAGCTAATTTTCAGAAAGTCTTTAATTGCAACATCCACATAATACCACAGTGACTCTCATGCAGCCTTGTTTAGTCAGGTGTTAACGTGCCGCAGGACGCGACGCAGCGAGTGTCCATCTCGTGCAGTACACATCGCAGGAAGGGGAACAGGCTCTGTCTTCTGCTCCACTATGTTGAAGTGGCACTTCTTAAGATGGTCCGACATGCTGGGGAGATCAGTGAAACCCCACGACAACACGGGGCTGAAGGCAGTACTGAATCTCCATACCTGCAACAATATATAAACAAAGATGTTGCTATGAAGGCATTATTCATCGAACACTTTACCACCAATCCTGCTGATTTGTTACATGCAATTTCCATAATTCTTGTGTAAACTGTAAATGCTTCAGTTTTTAAATAGATTCACCAGTGGGGTATAACTTAATTAGCAAGCTTTACGAGTGACTGAGGCTGCAGTAGCCAGCTACATATTTACTAAATATAACTCTCAGTAAGAAAGAAAATATGCAAACTTCAAAAAAAGTCAGACTATACCTTTATAAATATAGCTGAACTGTACAAATTCAAGACATTTTAAGATTTGGGGGCCTAACTCTATAAAATATGGGCACACTTTTGTGCATGTGTGTATAACATTGTAGTATTTACTGTAGACTTGTATTCATACATTCAGAAACCAAAAGTACCTGCATCTTTGTAACTAAGAAGTGATTTAGCAGGTTTTTAATTAATTAAAGCACTGACATACAGTAGGTTTACAGTACCAGTGCTCTACTCACTTTATTTTTGATCTGCCATGACACAGTGCCATGAGCATCAGGTCCTTGTCTTCTTTCCCACTGTAGGTCCACTATGCCTCTGGTCTGGACGAGACTGGCACACACCTCCCTCATAGTTTTTGACACCAATGACAGCTGGCACAGGCTAAAACTGTCCAGGAACCTAGCTATGTGCCAGAGTATCTCAATAGGCAACCCACTAAATTGGTCAGACTGGGAGTCACTTGGAAGTTTTGTCTTTGGGCAGGGTTGAACCCCGAATGACCTGAGGTTCCTGTCATGAACCACCTTGGCCCCCTGGGTGGATGGGTAAAACCTTCGCTGGGAAAATGTACAACCGTAATATGCCAGCGGGCAGCGGTGCTCCATCCATCCATTGAGACCAGCATGAATGTCGCCATGGACGTTTGTAAAATGGGAAGAAAACTGGTCCCGGCGGAATGACTGACCACAGACAAATGGGAACATATGCTGGTAGCGGGGGTTAGGAGGGAGGTAGCAGTTATGTGGGACTGCGTCAACTTCCAGAGCTTCCAGAACAAGGCCGAGGCGGAGAGTGCGGAAAGGGCTGGGGTAGGAGAGCTGTGGGGCAGCATGGTCACAGGCGGAGGCCGAGGCCATATCACCCACTCTGGTGTTGGTTACTAAGATTGCTGCAGGGAATGTGAAAGTCTGTGTGCCAAAGTCAACATGGTAGCTATCGACATAGACTGTATCAGAGATCCTTCTACATTCTCTGGACTCCTCTAAACAGAAGAGCAGGGCTGCCGTGATCAGATCAATCTCTCCTAGACCCATGGGGTCATCATCCTGCTCCAGATCTGAGGTATCCATGGCTTTGTCCTCCATTTGAGGTCGTAATCTATACTCTGACCTGTCTGTGATAAAACCCGGCTGTCCATTAGGTAATGTACCCTGGCCCCTAAAGAACTGGTAGTTCTGGAACCTCCGCTCAGGCCCGTGGTTTTCTAAAAGAACTAGCCCCCTATCTTCCAGCAACACATGGCAAGCCCTTTGTGCCACACCCTGGCTAACATGTGCTGGAGATGCCATCTGAGGGCTCACTGGCTCCTGGGAAGCACCAGCATTCACGTCATCTTGCACATGAACAGGACAGGCTGTCTCCAGACAGGCCTCCATTGCTCCTGTCCATGGTCCATTTGTTGTGTTTAGAATCTTTAGATCTGTTCCTTTCAGAGCCCCATTTCCACTCAAGCAGCTCGAACAAACACTTTTGTCTTCTGTCTCTCTTTTATTTAAACCATCATCAGCTGTATGCGTTTTGACTTCCAGTCTGTTCTGAAGGTCTCCATAGCTGCTCACTCTACTCTTCTGCATAGCATCTCCTCTATTCACACACTCTGTGCTGCTATCAACAGAACTAGAACTACTAACAAAGTCTAAAGCAGCAGATAAGCTTCTTGCAGTCTCAACTGTGGCCTCATAGAGTTTACTGAAGTGTTCCTCATTCAAGCCATTAATTCCACTGACAATTTTCTCATTTGCAAACCCTCGTGGGGGAGTTTGTGGCTGGCCTGAGGATGATGATTGTGAAGGTGATGCAATAAAGATGGAGGTGTCACAGGCAGGTGTCAGCAAAGCATTGTCCATCGCCCTGTTCTCCTTGCTATCAGGCACAGGTGGTTCTCCTGCTGTAGGTGCCATGGCAATCACCTTTACAGACTCAAGTAGTGTACGCTGGTCCTGAAGAGCAAGTGCCATGTCCAACTGCTCTGCCCCCTCCACCCCTCGGCTCAGGCTCTCATAGGAAGTGTAGTCCAAGCAGCTAACAGGCCATCTGTTCCACTCCATAGTGCAGCACACCACTCCAGCTGGACACACCTCAAGGTGTGCAGACACTTGATTACGTGCTAGGGATATGGGGCAGCCATAGCCACTATTCAGGCAGGGAATCCTCACCAGTGGGCACATAATTTGGTGCTCATTAGCTTTGCAGGAATGAAATACAGCCCCACAGACTTGGGGACAGGTAATAAGATCACAAGAAATGCCTGGTTGAGGTCTGACCATGCATCTCTGGTTAACACAGGACATACAGTGAACATGGTCCTCTTCCATCTTATGAGGTAAGAGGGTGGAACGCTCTGAGGATAACTCCGTGAAAAATCCACTGAGGAATCCGGTGCCCTGCCAAATAAGCAGAAAGAGCAAATCACATCAGTGTATTCAAGATAAAAATAAAAAAGACTTTTAGTCCCAAGGAGTGGAAATTAGTATTGCTGGGGGCGGATGACGCCTGTTTCACCTCTGTGAAGTGCAGTTTCAATATGTTGTGTCTGAGCTTGCGTCAAATACCAACTCAAGGGATACATACTGTAAACATCAGTGAAATGAGAAGAGAGGAGAAAAATGGAAAAAATAAAGCATTGGACACAAGGTCAAACTAAATGCAAGAACATTTAACCTACAGAGTAATAACATTTAATAACAGTAATATTTTAATGGGTAGCATGATGCATGCCCCAAATCATCACTTTTCTCAGCACAAACAGAAAAAAGCTCTCAAGCTTCTAAAGGCTTTGTCCATCCATCAGAAAGTAAGTGTTACAGCAGCACAAGAAACAGACCAGATAAAAATGCACAAGGATAGAACAAATGGAACAAAGGGGCACAATAGGTTAAAACTATAACATTAAATCACACTGAAAAGTATAACAATAACACAGCTACAGTAAGAACAGCATAAATAGTATGGGGCAGGGGGGCATACAATAGACAACAGAATACTATATACAGTATAATACCTAAGAGCAGTGTGTTATATGTGCATTCATATTGAATAAATGCGCAAAGGTTTTAACCGACCTTCCTCATATTCCTATGCAGGTTATGAATAACAGGACATGTTTGTATTTTAAAGCTAAACTAAATAAAACAAATTTCCATTCAGGTAAAATATGTGGCTCTGTCCTAAACACCAGGAAGTACAGTATTTCCTGAGTTGCACACTAGAACAGCTAGCAGAACTGTGCAGGTTCCAGAGTACCCACTGCATTTACAACAACAAAAAAAAAAGAGAGCACAGATTTATAATATAAAAAGGCTAATCTTTATATTTTGGTCATTTCAAATGATCTTATTAAAAAAAACTATGACTTGGCAAATACTTGGCCAAGTTGCATAAACCACCACATAAATTAAATTATAATATTTTGTATTTAATGCTTAAATATTAACATGGTAACTAAATAAAACATAGTAACAGCCTTCTTGGATAGAGTTAGGTGGAAACAGATGATTTGCTGTGGCAACCCGTAACGGGAACAGCCGAAAGAAGAAGGGGAAGAAGAAGAAGAAGAAGAACAGCCTTCTTGTGTAAATACATTAACAAACAGGACTTCAAACCAACTGAATGACTAAGCAAACCTACTAAACTCTGAGGTGATGGCGTTCTATTTCTTGCTTTGTCATGAGCCTGCACAATGACAGAAACAGTACCCCCACTCCATCCTATGAGGACGTCAACTGCAGTGACGTGAAGCATCTGAAAGGCTGTCTCATTCAAGTACCTTATTAGGAAGCATCCCAGTAAGGAGGTCAAAACCTTTCCTTTCTTACATTTTGGAAAAGAGAAACATGTCCCATTTCCATAATACATACTAGACAGGCTTTGATTCTGTTTTATATTCACAATAGAAGTGACAAGGTATATTCAAAACAGTTTGTGTGGACTCTAAAAATAAAACACTTGATTTTAGAGTCTACTGGATGTACACTGTTGTCCAACAATGCAATATACAAAGCTGTAAAACATTCAAATAAAATGTACATTGTGTTAATGCAGCCCCAGAAAGACTTTACAAAAAAAATAATATTATTATCCACTATGTAATTTATACTACCTGCAAAACCTGTATAATAGGATTAGTAATAAATACAGTTAGTATGTGGTCCCTGGCAGCTGAGTAATGTTAAAGATCAACCTGCCATATGCAACTTGTCTGCTTTAAGTACTTGAATAAGACTTTTGAAGAGTACCTGAAGAATTTGAAGATACTTCATGTGTATTTTAGTACATTTTGGAAATTTCATGATTATCCTATACAGAACTGGAAAAGTTCCTGATTTGAAAATGGACAGCTTTTTCGTCTAATCTTTGGCTAGAATTATAAATAAAGCTTACAGGGACATGATCACTTCACTAGTTATTTAGCCTTAAAATTCTTTTTATCATTAAGGAAATAAACAAAATGTCAGTTTTGGCTAAATGAGTTTTCAGCCAGCGGTTAATCAGGTCGAGCTTAAGTTACTCGATGCAAACACTAACAACGAAGACAGCAGTCTGCCAAAATACACTGTAGTTAACGTTAATGTTGCTCATACTGTAGGTTAGTTGAAGTTTAACGCTGCTTGCATCACTGTAGCAAAGGTACCGATGATAACACGAAAAGCTGTGTATAGTTTGTATACATACACCTACTCCAAACCAGTTTCTTGTCAGCTGTTCTTTCTCTGTTAAATCAGCTTTAACTTTCAACAATGGTTAAGTTGGCTTACACTGAGCGGCTAAGGTTGGCTAACAACAACTAGCTAGCTCGGAAGTTCAACGGCTGACAACCAGCTATATAAGCTACATAAACCATGGGTTAACATGCAAGTAACTTCTCACCTTATTGTTGTTTTGACATAAAAACGTATAATACGATCAGCTTGATTGGTCTATATAACTACAACTAGAAAACTGTAGTTGCCCATTTCACTAATGTAGTTGGCTTTTTCTTTTTCTTTTTCTTTTTCTTTTTTCCTTTTCCTTTTCCTTTTCCTCCTCCGCCTCTTCTTCTTCTTCTTCTTCTTCTTCTTCTTCTTCTTGTTAATGGCTATTGCAAACATGCAGTTATCTCTGTGGAGAAATAGCTAATAATAGCTAGCCGCCGTTCTCTTTCTTCTTCTCTTTGTTTTCTGGCGAATTGCAAACCATGGATTAAGGTGCATACCGCCACCTTCTGTATCGGAGTGTGTAGAGTCATTGTACTGAATTTTCTGAATTCCAGGATTGGATTAAAAACAACTACATCCTATTTACTAATCCTGTCTCAACAATGAATCTAATTAACTCCCTTCTAATTACCCTAAGCCTCCATTTTGAGAAAACATTATTGACCTAAATGTACAGCCATTTTTCAGTGATTGGGAAAAAAAGCAAGAAAAGTAAAGGAAATGAATACAATGACATTTCATTGTATAGATAGCTACATCTTTGTAATTTTAAAGAGCTTGGCAATAAATAAATAATGGAATTGTAATGAGTAAAACAAAATCAGCATTTGTAGCAAAATTAGCATACCTGTTAGATCATCATTTACTTTGACATTAATCGCTGGGTCACTGTATTTGAAATCTACTATAACATCTCGAACAACCTGTTGGAAATTGTACATGCTTCTCTAGGTTATCATTAAAAGTAAAGAGTGCATTAGTGCTGCTTTTTGTGTTTCATTTCAGAAAGGCTATGCTTATTACCACATTTAAATTCACTGATTTCTTTTCCACCTATAGGTTAAATTAAACCACCTCAAATAGCTTTACAAATAGATGCTAATTCTCTATAGGTAGGCCTGTATCCGTAGATATATTCAGCTAATTGCCTATATGTGTTCATTATAAATAAATATATCAGACAAATAACTCACCAAGAAAGTAAAGAAACTAAGAAAGAAAAATACTAATAATAAAAAGTTTAACAAATACAAAACAGACAAAAATTTAAAAAGAAGATGACTGATGATCATTGATGCTCATTTGACCATTAGATAGGCTAAACATGGAACATAAACATTACATTAAAATTCAAGGAGCAGCCAATGCATGGCCCAAATTAGGAGACAAACGGAGAAAGCAAGTAGGCCTACACTAACAGAAAATAACTTCATAGATAGGGTCCTGTCTGACAGACAGGAAGCAGCAGGTGAGGCTGGGGAAAACCACATCCTGCATCCGGACAATAAGCACAGGTGCCCCCCAGGGATGTGTGCTCTCCCCTCTGCTGTTTTCACTCTACACCCATGACTGCATCTCGAAGGACCCCTCTGTCAAGCTCCTAAAGTTTGCAGATGACACAACAGTCATTGGTCTCAACCGAGACGGTGATGAGTCAGCCTACAGATGGGGGGTTGAGCAGCTGGTCTTGTGGTGTAGTCACAACAATCTGGAGCTGAACATGTTCGAAACAGTGGAGATGACAGTGAACTTCAGGAAGACGCCCCCTCCCACCCCTCACCCCTGCCTACATTGTTTGCTGCCTGTTTATAATGCTTATTTTGCATTGTTTGCACTGTTTGTTGCTGTTAATCCTGCTTTTTTTATTATACTAGCCTTATGTTGGTTTACTGTTTACTTGCCCCTTGCATGGGGATATGTACATGCACATTGAGAGCTGATGTACCAGAGTCAAACTCCTCGTGTGTCCGACCTGGCCAATAAAGCTGATTCTGATTCTGATTCTGTAACACAACCCATCATTTTCTATAATATGCAGTAACCAGTAATGTACGGAAGAGGTCAGTGTTTCACCGTTTTTTTCTAAGCACTGTCTGAGCTGTGAACGAGTACACAGTGCCTCACTTCAATGCTGTTAAGAGAGATATGCCACTTTTTTAGGACGGGTCACCTACAAAATATCCCCCCCGGAGGTGGAGGAGCTGACTCATGGACACATCAGCAGGATGGTACAGGACTGAATACACTTGTCATGAGGTGCTGAAGCAAACCCATGCAGTGGAACCATCACCATTTACATAGTATACAATCTTAAATAGCTTTTATATCAAATCAAGTCAGAATTTGCACTGTCTTTAATATTAAAATCTTTATACTTCTGAGCTAAATAAGCAAATAGAAAAATCACCCACTAAATATAAATGTTAATTGTTGCAGGCTACGCAATACAAACAACTCAGATTTCAAAATGCTCATGCTAATTTATAGGCTAATTAGGCTATGCCTAAGCTTATAATAGTTACATATGCAGACTGACTTATGTGATGTTGTTTATACCTGGTCGATTTTGTTTCAAAACAAAATGCAATCATAGTGTTTGCTTGGACTTTTTGACTATTTTTTTGTGTGTAAGTCTAGTATGAATCCAAGAATTCTATCATATTTTGTAAGGCATGTGCTTTTTTTGAGGTTTACTTTCCTAACCATAAAAATCTGATACTTCAAGTCAGCACTGAAAGCAAGAGAGTAGACCACCAAATGGTCTATGACCAGATCAGACTTTATATGACTCATTGCACACACACACACACACACACACACACACAGTATTTGACCATGTGTTTGACCTTGTCAACTACCAATGCCTGAGACTTAACTAACTCACTAAGCCAACCTAACCTATTTTTGGAGACTTCTGAGCTCTAAACCAGACAGATATCAGTCTTTTTTGGACTCGGTGAGTAATGATAAATGGTGTGAGAACAATGAGGTTTATCGCAGTGTGATTCCTTTGCATCTACAGTAAGACGGCGTTGATTTCAGCACATCATTTTCAACCAGGCCTAGATGTTGTGAAGATGAGTTGGATAGTGTATTTATCTATCAATCTATTTATTGGACTTTAGATTTCCTTTCCCACCTGCGGTTCATGTTGACATTTTGTGACATAACTTCACCAGTAGGCTAATGGTGCTATGAACTTTACAACGTGCCTTCATTCCGCCCACCCGTTTCTTTCCTCTGGGAGCTGTCTGGTGTTGAAACCCACGCCTTCCCCTTCCTTTGCACATTTTTAATTGGTTTAATGTGACGTTTTAGACAACAAACCACTGATCTGCGTGCGGTTGTCTGTGCAATTGTCTACAAACTGGCATTTTAACAGGCTGACGATCCCAAATCGATGAAAAAGACTGTTTCTGGAGCCAACTTTTCTTATTCTCAAGGGCTAACAAGACAAATGGGCTTGTCAAAAGACTGACTGATGGGGTTATATTTCAAAGAAATAAAACAGAAAAGCTTGTCTTTTCTGTGACATCAGTGACATCAGTATCAAGAAGAGGAGGAAACACTCAAAAGCCTAAAAAAGAACAAATAGAGAAATTAACATTTTTTTCCCAATTTCATTAATTTATGTAACCGAATTGTCTCTGTCGACCATTATCATCCAAATAATAAGCATACTGCTTACGTCATAGCCGAAAAGCCCATGCAGACTCTGTTGCCCTGAAGTGTGGCTGCAGCCTCTTCTTCTCCAACGTGTCACTTTTATTCAGGTTCAGTATGAGCTGCTCGCTCCCGAAGCCCTGAGCACTAGCAGTGGCACTGTCACAGCGACTCCTTCATAAGTTTATTTGTGATTTATACACTGCAACGTAAAGCACATGCCCCCGGGAACGGGCCGTATCTTTGAGTGAGATAACGCGCAGGGTAAAGTTAATCCTTACTGTCTCCACCACTCAGAGACGGAGATTGTATCCTACAGTGGCGGGTAAACTCCTGGAGCTGGCGATCACGATAAGAAAACACTGATATGAACAAAAGTGATACTTTTATGTAATGATTTTTTTTGTGGTCTGCATCAGTTTACATAATGTAGACCAAGGCATCATGCCATATATGTACAGGTATTAATCCCAGGCTGGGGGAGTGTAACAGTTCAGCATATTAAAGAGTGGTAAAACCGAGATCTATGACTGGCTTCTTGTCATTTAATGAGTGAAATATCACCAGCGATCTTCCACCAAGCGCAGGGTGGCGCGATGCAAACCGTTGACAGCTGTCCATGGTGCTGAAACCTATTAGAGACCAAGCCTCAGATCAACTCAAGGAGTGAAGATATTATTATAGCACTGGCTACTTACATGTCATCAGGAGATGATTGATGCTTCTGTCTGCTTTTCGTTAAGGCTTGTCAGTCTAACACGCTGTAAAGTCTCCTTTTGTCATATAATTCAAACGGTGGTTAACGCTTGACACCTGCCTACATGTCTCTCTCCTTCTCAAAACAGCAGAATCAATGTCACACTGAATACACTGCAGATATTTATACTGGGATAGACAGACACTCTCCGCATGTAATGACACATAAATACAGTTTTGTGCTGGTACAAAATATTTGTCTGGTACAG